TAGCCCTCCAAAGACAAACCACAGAGCTGTGTACAAAGCTAGACAATCTGGGCAGCCAGCCATAAAACATTACTTCTATAGCAGATTCTGCTTTCACTCCTAAGCTCTCCACAGCTGTAAAATATAACAAGAGAAGTTCTGGTAACGGCCTATATGCCGCAGACTATTTATGATTCAAAGGCTAAAAGTTTATTTCCCTCACTCTGAATCCTTTCTTTGGGTACAAAGTCACACCCAACTGGATATTCAAGGTTAACCTTTTATATTGCAGAGAAATAAAAACACAAAAATGACTTGTTACATAGTAATATCTGATGACTTTCCCAATAGCTTTTATTGAGAAGATGAAAATAGATAACACTCATGCAAATAAAATGGATTACAATATGACTACAGAACAGAAACTTACTTAAATACCTTTGTATTTGGAATTTCACAGTTGAAAATATTGTTTTAATTCAAAATGTTGACCAAAGTTCAAAGAACTATACAACATGCCAAATGCCCAAGAGTGTTTTTTTTTTTAGTTTCTCATTGTCATCCAATCAAATGACACAAACAAAATTCAAGCACTGCTCCAAATAGACACAACTAGAGAGGAATGAAGAAATATAAAAATCTGCTCTCTCTCTGTATGTCAGCAATAAATCCCAGCTTTTAGTACACATAGTTTAAAGCAAGTTCCACTGAAATCAATGAACAGTCCAATTTAGAATGTTTTATATGGTGATTTATCTTTCTTTACAACTTGCTATATTTATGCATAAATGCAAAAGTCATGCATCATAGAAAACTAATTTGGTAAATCAGTTTGTTACATCCAGAGCATATTACAATTCAACAAAATATTTGAGTCTTCCAGTTCTGACCCAGCTAAGACCTTTATAGTTACTGCAAAGCTCTAGACATTATCACTAAAAGGTATCAGCTGATACTAAATTGGGTAGACTGCATCATCATCAGGTACTTAAGATGTTTCATATCATTCATCTATAGTACTAAAATAGAATGATCAGTTCTTTTCTACAGCTTCAGCACCAGTGGGGAAAAGGTTTCAAGTATGACATTATCTTGTAATATGGATTTTAGTTTTTAACAAGAGTTTGATGATGCATCAAAAGGTAACATCCTGCAAAGCAAGGAATACAAATGCTAAGCAGCAGCCAAAACAATTTTATAGTTCATAATGTATTTCTGGCTTCACAAAAACATATTAAATTTAATACTGCTTTATATGAAGTAATTATATCAACTAGGATAGTGATAGATTTGAAAGGCAAAGAAATTAGCATTTATTCTTATTTCTAAGCATTAAGTCTGTAAGTGTCCTCACATAGACTTTCTTAGCAATTCTTTCCATCTGAAATCCGCCTTTGCTGAAGGAAAAGGCTGCCCCACCCCTGACCTTCTCCTCCTCCAGCTTGTTTTGGAAAGCAGCCAGATGTCAGTATTGGGAAAAGTGCATATTTATCTCAACAAGACCAGCTGCAGAGAACAACTAAACGTAATTTTAGGTATTATTCATTCTTCCTTCTCAATGGCCTTGTTTTTTTTATTCTATTAAGATGCTGAGTTCCAAACTATATCTACACTGATGCTTTAGTAACTGTATTCCTATAGCTTACTATCATTAAGGAAACAATCATCCTTGTAAATAAAAGTGAATTCTCCATTGATAGAAATTCATTTGCATCTTTAAGGCAGAAGGAAAAATATTTATATGCACTTTGCTACAGTGAGTATTCCTTTTTGCCCTTTTTCACACCTGGCTAAAATACTGAATCTCTGAAACACATCCAAAGACACCACACCCAAAAAACCTGTTGTTAGACATGATACTCCAATACTTACCATGTGATCCTTCAATTTATGATATACTGAATACTGATGTAAGATTTAAATAAGCAAAAATAGTCGAAAAGTTTAACTAATGCCTTACTATTTGTCTGCCCAACAGTGTTAATCACTGTTGCAAAATGGTACATTAGCTACAATTGCAGATTAAAGATTAAGTTACTGCTTTCAATGGGGATAATAGTGATTATTATGTGAAAGGATCTCTTTCACCCAATAAAAAATCTGTTACAAGGACAGAATTTCAAAATATAGAATATTTATCTTATTAGTACATATTTACAAAAGTGTGAGGTTCAAAGTAGAATTTCTCACCATAAGGTGTGCATTATTAACTTTTCTTTTATCAGCTTATCTATTCAAGAACTGTGATGAATTTTACAAAGGCATGACTACTGAATCACAAGAGAAATAGTATATAGAGTTTTAGAGCTTATGATTTAAGAATACAAATACCCTTCATGAATCTGTGCCTGCTTAGCTGATTAAGAGACTAGCACTGACATCGTATTTTTTATCAATATCGGACCTCCAACATTCATTCATATTGTGAGGATAACTTACATTTGGGATACTTTAATTGTTTTAAAGTGTTTTGCAGACTGCTTGTTGACACCAGAACCTAAGTGAATCAAACCATCGGCCTACTTAGTCCAATATTTATTTCTATAATGGCCAACAAAATGTCTATGGAAATCCCACAAAAAAGGAATAACATCTTCCTCTGCTGATGTTTCTCAGTAACTGATAAAGCATGCTATCTCTGATCCTGAAGGTAGTATATAGCCTCATTTACTAGCAATTTTCTTCTGCATGAATGTATATAAGCCCTTTTAAAATTATCAAAGTTGCTGGTTATAGCTGCATGTTGTGATACCATGTTTCAGAATCTATATGTGTGAAGAAGCATTTTCACCATTCAACACATTTGACAACCTTTGATTCTTGTATTTTGAAAAAGAAAAACTTCAATTTCTTTGTATACCATGTACAGTTTATATACTGCTATTTTGCCCAGTTACTTTGCATTTTCTCAATTAAAAAGGACTAAACAATAATTTACATATGAAAATTATGGAATTGTCTAATAATAATGGTTACCATTTTCTGCTTGATAAAATGCTTTTTAGTATACAGTTGTTGGCTGCATATATAGTATTTCAAATATGGTCACATCATATATTTGCATTAAAACATTACAGAATAGTATTTGTGGCTCCTTTGTAATGATCTCCAGCATGGAATTCACATTTTTTTCACAGCTGCTGCGCACTGTATTGACATGTTCATTGAGTTATATCTATTATAAACCCACTATTTTTTTGCTCTGGTCAGTCACTCTCAGCTTGACAATTTTTTTCAGGAAACATGAAAAATCAATAAGGGAAAGCATAATGCATTTCTGTCCTCTATATTGCATTAAAAGGGCTACATTCGAACCCTATCATTAAGTCCATTTAATTCTTGATCAGTAAAAATTTAATTGCATTAAAATTAAGACTGCAACAGAATCATTTCAAAACTAGAAATCTTGTATTTTGTTCATAGTCTACTTAACACAGTAATTAAAAATGGAAAGCATGTTATGTTACAAATATGCTAAAAAGTTAACCAAAATGTATCAATAACTATAATTACATTGGAAAGAAATAAAATACTTTAATTTTAAAAAGACAATAGCCTTTTTTCAAAAGTTACTTATGATAAAATATTTTGTTAATTGAAGGGTTACTAATACCCTTGTGTAGAAAATTTAAATCTAAAATTTAAAAGATAATAATAGCAATAAAACAAGTTTGTATCTATGAATGAAATTTAAATATTTCTGAGGCATTTTAGATCAAAGTTGAGAATATACAGTTGAAAAAGAACCTAAAGAGACCCTCAAATCGGATGATAATCAGAAATTCCTATAACAAGTTATATTAAGTCTTGAATTTTTCCTGTGTAAAACTGTTCATTTTTCTAATTTCTGATGAAAATAATTATACTATATGGACAAAACAGCAAAACCTCAATTATGCAGAAATAATGAAACAAATTATCGGATTTAAAAAACATTTCAACAATTATTATAGATGCTTTATTTCATATGTAGGTATTTCTCACAATCTAGGTTTATATGTTAGGAATCTACTGATATAAAAAACATTTGTTTAGAGTACTACAGAGATGTTATTTTGTTTACTGTTCCACATGCAGACTTTTAAGTAATCGAAGCATTCTTTAGCATTGTTTATAAAATGACAAAATCATTAATAATTTTAAATCAGCCTTAGTCACCTTTATAATATTAAAAGTATAATACTCTTCTATGCATGAACTATGTTTCTAGAGAGCCCAGTTTATTTAAATAACCTAAGGAATTTGGGTACACTTTCAGCAAAGTTCCATGGTAAATTATATGCAAATTGTCATTCTATCCCTGTGTTTATTCTTAATCATTTGTTACGTTGAATGAAAAATACCATGAAAAGGGGGGGGGGGGATCTAGCATTAAGAATACTCCAGCAAAGAAATGGAGACATCAGAAAAACTACTTGGGAAGGGGGACAGCAATCCTTTGCACATACCAATTGATAAGTCCTACTAAACACAATGGAACTTAATTCAAATAAGTCTATACAGAATTGCACCTATCATTATTTAAATGCCCAACTAATCATAGATGAAGTTCAAGTTTTGACCACTTGGTTACATTCAATCAGCTTCTCTGTGTAGCAATACACTGAAATTGCCAAGATTAATTGTCACTATTTTCCAAACAGCACACCACATGACAACAGCATGCAAACCCTAATAATTCAAGAAATCATTTCTCATTATTTCCATTTTCTTCCATTTCTTTTTATAAATGAGGCATTTGGAGTTTGCAGTAGCAACAAGGAATATGAGAAATATTGAAGTTTTTAAAGCATCTGAAGCTGTCAATTGGGGATATGTTTAGCTTGTGAATACATTAGCTTGAGTGGGAGATTTGTTAATTTTTCATTTTAATAGTTACATGATTAAAAAACAGATTAGTTACATAGTCCTGGATCAAGAGCTACTTCATAGGGAACTGCAGGCACTTAACTTCGTAAGAGGACTTTTTCCATCTGACTTTTCTGCCTCCACATTAAAAATGTGAATGGTCCTTCTCTTACCTTGCTTCGTTTCCTTCTGGGGCTCTTTGGCAGCTTTCGACTCGGTCTCCTTGAAAAAGAACAAATGAATATTTTGTCCGGCGCCTGGGAGTTTCACTACCGTGCTCCTTTCTTTTAATGCTTTTTCTTACAAAAAAATACCCGTATTTTTCACGTTGAATATGAAAAAAATCTCTCACGGCCAAAGTCAGGGTTTTTTTTTTTTTCAATATCTATGCTTGTTCCAAATTAAAACGAAAAACAAAAACCACCAAAAATATTCTGCCACAAAAGAGGAGGAAGGGGGTTGGGAAAATCAGACAAGAAACCAACAGTAAAAGAGCTGTATGCTCCAGTTTTATTTCCAGCCCAGAAGATAAGTGCAGCAGAAGCAGGTCCAATTCCAAAACAAGAATTATTCTTTTCTTCAATGAAGCAAAACTCACAATTATGAGTTCTCAGTTAAATTCTGCACAGAGAATTTTGTTTTTAAAATTAAACATAGATAGTTGCAGCAAAAATATACCGTCAGGATGAGCGTGAAATCTGTATGCTTTGTAGTTGTTCAGGATACGGCTTTTAAAAAGGTGTTGGTAGATTCTCAGTTTACACGGAGGAGCATTTGAATATTTTGTTTTCAAAAGTGCAAATTAAAATGGATAATATCGAACCCATTCAAAAGTTTAAAGGTCAGAAAAACAAAAAACAGCCAGAAGACTCTGAGACAGAGATCCAAGTACCCAGTTAAGTCTTTTTTTTTTTTTAAAGGAAAGCGAGACGTAGAACACAAGCAGAAAAAAAAAGGTCTTAACAGTTTCTTTCAGGAAGATCCAAGGGAGAGAAGAATCCAGGCAAGGATCCACAAATGCCAGGGAAATCCACCAGCAGTGCTTTTCATACGTGGATCCAAGGAAAGGAGCTCCAGCAGTCTCTCTCATGTACCGGAATCCTAAAAAGGATCCAGAAAATAGGCTTCGTGGTGAGTAGGGAGCCCACCACTGTCTTTCATACGGATCCACCCAGACAAGCCAAACATAGGTGGATCCAGAGAAGAAGGCAAAATCCAGTCTCTTTCTCACAAAGACAGGATCCGCAAAACCCGGGGCGATCCCGCAACTGAGTTTCTCGCAAGGAGGTCCGTCAGTCGTTTCCTCTCCCCCGCGGGATCCACCCAGTCAAAGAGCAGAATCCACAGCAGCAGCAGCAGCAGCCGCTCTCCTGTCCCTCCCCAGCGATTGACGAGAGATTCTCTGGGGGAACCAGAGGGATTTATGGAGGCAGCAGCCGCAGGGACGGCTTCTCGGACCGAGCTTTTCGCTTGTAAGGGAAAAGGGGTTGGGCCGCTGGCAGGACAAGCAACGCCGCTGGGTTCAGTGATGCCGCCGACCCGGCCCTCCACTCCTCCTTGCAGTAGTAGTAGCAGCAGCAGCAGCAACAGCCGCCGTCGCCTCCGCCGCTTGTGTCCTCCGCTTCAGGAGCAGAGCTGCTGCCACCGCAGCCATTTTGTTACTAACTGACAAGAGCTCCGGCAGGCAGCCAGCGCGAGACCACAACGGGGCGAGGGGGAGGGAGCAAGGAGCGAAGGAGAAAGAGAGAGAGAGGAAGGGAGAGAGAGAGAGAGAGAGAGACAGGGGGAGAGAGAGAGGCGAGAATCCCTCTCCCTCCCCTCCCTGACCTCAAACAGGAAGTCCCAACCACCTCTCTGATCACGTGGCAAAGCCGAGCGCATAAAAGAAGGCTCCGAGACATGCAAAGATGATTAAAGGCGAGCCAATGGGGCGACGGGAGCAGTTAGCGAGCCCCGCCTTTTCTCTCAGCCTTGTCTCGTCGCGTGAGAGCGGGCGCCGAAGCTTTTTTTTTCCTCCCCTGGCTAGGCGGTGAAGCATTGCTTCGAGTGGCTTTGCCTGCTCCGTCCATCTTGTGTGTTAGCTAAATCTCCATAGAGAAGGGAGTAAGAATCGCAGGTCGTTCCCGGCCGCTTTGCACAGAGAAAAGCAAAACAAAAACCCCAGGCTGGGAATGAGAGAAGGCGCAGATATGCTTTTCTGCAATATCTTTTCAAGGCAAAACGTGTAGCAGCCGCACCGAACCATTTGGAAAAGAAATGGGTGTTTTGATCCGCCTGTTTGTTTATGTAACTGTATCCTTGGTGGGTGTACGCTGAAGCCATTATTTTAGCAGCCTGCTTGTGTCTCGCCACACATGCGTTCAGTGGTAATGACTGAAAGGGGAGCCGAAATAAAAAAGATGCGATGCAGTTGCTATTTTATAATTTTATTGCCCGCTTTAAAAAAAAAAGAGCTTTAGCCCATTTCTTCTGAGTTTACTTACCATAAACTGAACAATCGCCTCGCACTGCCGTGGAAAGATCAGAGTATCTGGCAAAATTGATTTCGACCTACTCCCATTAGAGATCCCTTGTTTAGGATAATAACTTAAACCTGTTTCCCAGGATGGCATACATAAGGTAAGCTACACCTGTTGGTCCACTGGATGGTTTCAGAAAGGGTGAAGTGAGCCTTGGGAATTCACCCAACTACTGAAGCTGAAGAGGCACCAAGCTGAGGAAGTGGCTTGATGTTTGTTTAATATACTCTCTGGTGAGCTGGAGAGGAGGTGTAGAGAATAATACTATAATTCTTGCTTTGGTGGTCCTTTCAATTAAGTCTGCACAGAATTGTGACCAAAGATAGTTAACCAGGTTGCAAACAACCTGAAGGGAGCACCAAATTAAACTGCCTCCAATGGTAATGCCTGCAGATGCAAAGTTTGGGGTAAAGTGAATCGATTTAATCTCTTGAATTCCATTGTTTAGTTGGCTACTATCAGCCAAAGGTTACTCAGGCTACTTTTCAGAGAACGAACAATATTACAGGGCTAAAAAGATGGGTTTTTTTTACAATGTTTTGTTTATCACCATCCACCGTTATCAAAAAGAAGAACTCTCGTGTAGAAAATAACCTTACTGTTTCATTTGGCACACTGTAAACAATTGTTACAAATGTAGCAGGTAAGTAGGCTTGGAAATTCTACATCTCCAAACAATCTATCTTCACTGAGTGTTCTCAAAATCTCTCCTTGTAGAGGTTTGTATAGCATACTAATCTCTAATTTTGTTAGTGTGATTTTAGCTTAGCACAATGTGTAAAACCAATTGCTGGGATTTGTGAATTAGCTTGTAAAGATTAACATCGTGTAAACAGGATGACTAGGCCTAACTTTAGAAGGTTAAAAACAAAATGTGACTTAGTACATTGTGTCAACAAAGCCATTCAGCTTTGATATACATTTATAAATAACTGGAAGATGTATTTAGTAGATGGCAAAAGAGCCAAAGTTAGCTACAAGTATTGAATTCAGTGGTATGAACTGCAGAATAAGCATATACAAATTCACCCTGGACTTCCCTATTTAAAAATAATAATTAAGACTTTTTAAAGTATCCATAGATGTATCATTTTGAATGAACTGGCAGTTTGCAATCCATTAAAGTTTTAGGCAATCCAAAACCATGCCATTGCAACTCTATGAAACTTTAAGAAATTACATTTGATCCAATACTTGCTTGGAGCACAGACACAAGTCAACTTTCATTAATAGTTTATATGTACCTTAGAAAATGACAATACCTTGCTGACCCTGGCTAAACTGAGAAGCTGAGCAGGTTTTTGTCTGATTAATATTTGGGTAAAAGAATTACCCAGAGATTCTGAGGCTGTTGGCTGGACTGGGAAATTTTAAAGTAATTGCAAACCCTTACCAAGAAAACTCTGGGATTGTAGTCATCAAGAGTCTCAGGCACATCTTTTTCTTTTATGTAGAAACAAAGAATGGTGTACACTCTGCAATAAACTTTGGATCAACTGAAATATATATCTTAAACTCTCTTACAAGATGACATAATTGTCAAAGATTTTGAAAGTTCCAAGCATAATATGGCATTTAGTATGATTTTTCAACTCTGTCTCTACACAGATAGAATGTTATTGGTGTTACAACACTATGCCTCATTGTGTCTTGCATTCAGAAGTTTGACTAAAGCAACAGTATGCTAAACAATTATGAAAGTGACTCAATGTCAACAAGTATATATCCTTATGATAATAAAATTTAAAAGATTAGCATGAGAAGAATTAGCATTTATGGTTATTGTGCTGATAATAAATGAGATATAGTTTAAATACCTGAAAATTAAATCAGATGCTAAAATCAGGTCTATTTTTCCCTTATAGGTAGGGATACTACAATGTTGCTGTTATATTTCAGCCATTTCCAATAAAAACTTTTTTTCATGAACTTGAGCACTCTGATTTTTAGATTGTTTTCACAATAGTATCTCAAAACAAATTAAAAATTCACCTTATTTTCAAGTTCAAGTTTATTTTAATTACCATTCAGTGAGGATTCTGAATAAATCAGTTGTTTTTCAACAACAATTTCAAGAATTGTTTTTCAACAACCAACAAAAAATTCACGAGATATTTGACCATATATGATTTCACTTGCCTAGATTAGCTATATGGCTATTTACTACCAGACACAGTGATCCCTCTCAGAAGACAAGGATCAAATTGAACCATGAGTTTGCTGTCTTGACATCATTTCTGCATTCGTAATGAATGGGGCGGTTTTGTCCATTTTTATTTTATTTTTACTATTTGCTTACTATAACATTACTCCTATCTGTCTATCAAATTTCAGTCACAGTTGTTGCAAACAACTGCTAGAATGTTGATTCTTTGTTTTGAGAGACATTTGCTCTAGTATAGAAGAAAAAAATCTGAACTCTATGATGGATATATAACAGATATCAGTGAAGATGATTGGCAAGTACAGTATGAAGTACTGGACTTGTCATCCCCATCAGGGCACAATGAATCTATTTTTAGCTGTTGAGGATAAGTCTGATAATGTCTTTGATTTACAGACTGAAATGTAATTAGAACCATTTTTTGCCACTGGAGGGAGACCACATTGCTCAAGAAAGCAATAGGAAGAGAAGTCCAGAACAAAGCCAAACACACACACACACACACACAAACACACACACACACGTAGAGGTGCTGTATATTTAGACTAAAAAAACTTTGTAGACTAGACAACATTGTTTTATGCACAATATCTTTTAGCAGCTAATTTTGAAGTAATCTTGTTTTTCACAGAAAAAAGTACTACAGCAGCAATAGAATGTAAGCATTTCTGCTGGCAATTTTCAGCAGATCTGATTATACTTGCCTTGAAATGGCTCAGTTTGGGAGAGGAACCAATCAACCCTGACTTTACTGATGATGGATAGGGGCGTGATTTTGTTTGCTGCATATTTAAATCTAGGCAGGGGACAAATAAGTTGCGGAACAACAAAAATAGCAAATGGAATTCTACTTTGTTGTGTTTATAAATGTAGGTCAGCAGCCACAGTGCCTGGCAGACCAAAAGGAGTGCAGAAAATTATTTTGCTGATACTTTCTGAAATCGAAAGTCTCATAGAAACTGAATAGGCATAGCCATGTGACATCATAGCTGCTCTATGTTACAATATATTTCCCAGGCTTGAATAGGATTTTAATGTCCTATTAAATATACATTGCTGTTACCCAGTGAAAGTGGTTTATTTTGCTGTATTTTAAGGAAATGTGTGAATTGAAATTTGCTTCCACTTTAAGCTTTTATAAAAGGTCATTTAAAGATGTTAAAATGGAATTGTTATTTTTAATTATTTTTATTGTTACATTTAAAATGTCAATGTGGCTGTAGTATAATTGTGTGTTATTCACCACTTAGATCGGATAGAAAAGGAAACAAAGTGTGGTATCTCAGTCTTCTCAAAACATCTCTTAAGTTTGAGGAACTTACTAGTATTGAATATAATTTGGATATATGTTTCCAGTTGAAAAGAAGAATATGAGAAAAAAAATTAGCTTATTCCAAAAGAAGGACCAGGAGTGACATGATAGCAATGTTCCAATATCTAAGGAGCTACCACAAAGAAGAGGGAGTCAAGCTATTCTCCAAAGCACCTGAAGGCAGGACAAGAAGCAATGGGTGGAAACTAATCAAGGAGAGGAGAAATTTAGAACTAAGGAGAAATTTCCTGACAGAACAATTAATAAATGGAATGACTTACCTCCAAAAGTTGTGGGTGCTCCAACACTGGAGGTTTTTAAGAAGAGATTGGACAACAATCTGTCTGAAAAGGTATAGTTTGTCCTGCTTGAACAGGGAGTTGGACTAGAAGACCCTCAAGGTCCCTTCCAACTCTCTTATTCTATTAAAATTGATTTAGCAGAATCTCTCTACTTTCTATACTATTGGAAAGCCATTCTTTCCCCACTTTTTGTGGCCATAGTATTGCCATACATCTGGGTTTTATTTTGGGGAATGGGTTTTAAAAACTAAATTAATAGTCAAGCCTCTGGGTGGGGTCACAACAGATTAAAAATATAAATTGCTACAAAAGACACACTGTATGACCCTAGTGGAAGTTAATAGGAATCAATTTGGGTTTAAAAAGGCGCTTTGCAAGTGGGCTGTTTGGGAGGGTTTTTTGAAATGTAATGAGGGAGGTGGTTGCACAGACCTAGGGAAAGGATTCCAGAGTGTAGAACCCATCAGAAATTTCTGACCTTTGATGGATGGGGGAGATTTTTTAAAACAATCATTCATCCCTACTAATGGGCAAATTCATTGCTGACAAGGCAGCATAGTATTGTAGTGCTAGTTTGTACAGCATAATGATTTAAAGGTGATGGCCAGCACTTTGAACTGGGCCCAAAAAACCTGCAGGTAAGTAATGCAACAATGTTAGCACTGCAATTTTGCAGTTCTGTAAACTGACTCAGCAGGACTCCTGTCACCATATCCCAAAGCAGCTGCAGCTTTTGGACTGTGCAAAGGCTGCTCCATGAAATATCATCTATTACAATAATCAAACCAGATGGTGCTAAAAAGATGGCTTGGCATCTTTAAAGCCTCCTGGCCCAGATAGGATTAAAACTAGCATATGGGATTAAGGTAAGCATACTCCCACCCCCATGCAGCCACAGACTCTGCCTGTTGTTTGAGCAATAGTCATGAGTCCAGAAGGATACCCAGCTCTTGAACCAGTTCATTTGGAATGCACATAATTCTATTCGGAGTGATTATCAATATTTCAACATATTTGAATTATATATAGCAACTCAACCTTGGATGGGTTTAATCAAAGTTTGCTTTGCCTTCTTCAGACCTCCAGACATTTGTTCAAACTTCATTGCATAAAATTTCCTGACCGAACAATTAATCAATGAAGTTGTGGGTGCTCCAACCTGGAGGTTTTTAAGAAGAGATTGGACAACAATTTGTCTGAAAAGGTTTGTTTTTTCCTGCTTGAATAAGGAGTTGGACTAGAAGACCCCCAAGGTCCCTTCCAACTCTGTTATTCTATTAAAACTTTTAAAACTTGACTAGGTAATGTAATATACAGCTGAATATTATCAGCCTAATGATAGCTCCCTTCAGATCAGCAGAAGACCTCATCTAGCAGCTTGATATAGAGCAGGGCTGTCAAAATCCTGGCCCATGGGACATGGGCTGGCCATGCCCACGGTTGGTTTAACTCCGATATGTTGATGACGATGTGAGTTTGACACCCCTGATATAGAAGAGGAATAGCAAGCACTGTGGAGCAGCTACATACATACAGTGTCAAATATTGTTATCTCATCCTAACAGACTGGAATCATCTACTCAGGAGCAGAATCACTGAAGATCAGTGTCTCCACAAACTTTGCAGGCATCCTAGCAGCATACCATCACTAATATCAAAAGCTACTGGCAGCGTATAAACGGACCAGGAAGTGAGAAATTTCCTCCCTCAGTCCCAACAAAAATAACCTGTCTAGGCAATTAATAATGACCTAGTCTGAATTCAGACCATCTGTTTCTTCTAAAATTCTATGCAGCTGAGTCACTTTACATTTTTCCCTATGCTTTTGCGTTGCTTGATTTCTTTTTAATTTCCTGATATATTTTTGGAGAAGCTTGACAAGAATGTGTATATGTTCCATATTAATAAAGCAAAGTTTTGTTAATTTTTTAAATTTTAAAACCTTGTTACAATTTCTCAGCTCAAATCTGTACTCAGTCTTCAGTTGGATCAGATAGTTTTTTTTCTCATAGTTATTCCTATTCTGCTTACTTTCTGGTTTATAGGTAATCATCTAGCAAGAGGATGGGAATACAGCTAGTGGCATAACTGAAAATATTGGAAAGCAGATCTTCCAACAGGATAATACTTTTGCATATCTTTGGTGCTGAACTAATGCTTCATTAAGACCATCTTCAATGTATCTGCAGGGAATATGGCTGGTTTTAACTTTTAAATGAAACTATAATAGCAATTTGAGCAGAGGGACATGACTGGTTGCAAAGATGTCTTTAGTGTGGTTCATTCATAACTCAATGGATATTGGTTCTCCAGGATTGTTTGTCAGTAGCAATTTTGTTGAGTTCTTGTAAGGTTATGTTTGTACCATTAGCTAACCATCTTGTCAACTTTGGTCTTTTCTATCTCAATTGTCCTGATTTTTCCAAAAAGCAGGGTCTTTCTCCATTGACTATTGCCTTTGAGTTATATGTCCAAAACATCTAAGCTTTAGTTTCATTATTAGGGCTTCTATGAGCAGAATGGTTTTACCTCATCTAGCACTAAATAATTTGTTCATTACAGTGCAGGGTATTCTCCAGCATCACAATTCAAAGGCACCAATTTTCTTCATTCAGCATTTTTTATGGTCCAACGTTCATAGCCATATGTTATAACTTGAAAAGCGGTAGCCCACAGCCTATTTGTTAGTGTGATGTCACTGCACGTTAATGTGTTGTCTGATCAGTCTTTCTCCCAAATAGTTATATTCTTATTTCATGGCTATAGTAATTCACATCTCTATGAATTATTTAGTCAGGAAGATTAAATGTTACTACTTCAAGTTCCTCTTTATTTGTGCTCAGTTGGCATTGCATATTGATGTAATGTGAAGTTTGATTTTTTTTTAAAAAAAATGTGGAGCAGCAAACCAAGTTTTCCCCTCTTCTTTTTATCTTCAAGAAGGCTTTCTCAGTTCTTCCTCTCTTCCTCAACATGGTATCGTTAGCAAGTCTATTGTGATTTATATACTACCTCTTGAATATCAACTCCATATGAATTGCCTCCTGTTCTTTTTTTCCTCAACAGTGCTGTGGGTTAGATTGGGTTAAGAAATAGTGAATGTCCCAAAGTTGAACAGAGAACTTCCATGACTGAAAGTAGAGTAGGACAGGGGTCCCCAACCCCTAGGCCCCAGCCCACTACCGTGAACTGTTCAGAACTGGGCCAAAGTGGTGGGTGAGTGTGTGCATGCACACATCTCCTCTTGCACAAGCAGATGAACATGTTCACACACATTCCATTTGTGTGAGGGCCAGGTACACATGCCCCTCACTCAAGCAACTACAGCTGTATGTGCTTCCCCATCACTAGTGCAGAACCAGCTCCCCCCCCCCTCCGCAAAACCAGAAAGGAGGAACTCTGGACCAGAACATAGGTTTAGCTCATTTCATCATATTGTTGAAGTTAGAACTCATATAAATGCAATAGTTTCAAAACTTTGGCATTGCCTCTCCTTTTGAGGTATGTGGGTTGGAACACCAATTAATCTTTTCCAGTCCTTCGGCCCCTGCTATCTTCTTTAGTTGCTTCCAATGTGCAAGTAGCACTTTAATAGCATCATCTCAAACATTTCTGTTGAAACTTCATCAACTCCTGCAGTTTTCATGTTAGCAATATTTTCTAGGGCCCATTTAACATTAACTTTCAGAATATTTGCTCTAGTTCAGTGACCAAATCTTCAGTAACCAAATCTTTGCTCATATCTTGGATACTGTAATCTTTTTTGTTCAATTCTTCTGTACAGTAATTGAGCTTCTATGCAATATTTTCTTTTTTACCAGTACACTAGATGTGGTAGAAGAAGATAGGTTTTAGATTATTTCTGTTTGTAGGGTGCTGTTAAGCTACTCCATTAATTAACAGCCTCCCTTAAGGCAAAATACAACAGTTGCTTCTTTGATTTCTTCATGTTGAAAAGGCAGTTTTGTTTTAGTGAAAATTAGAGGCTAGAAACTGGGAGACTACGAGTTCTAGTTCCATCTTTAGGTTAGGGTAGAACAAAGCCCATTGGGTTATCTTGGGCCAGTCATCCTTTTGAAATCCTAGGAAAGGGGCCATAGCACACCACTTCCAAAGTACTTTGCCAAGAAAACTCCAGGGATTTGTTCCAGCAGTCTCCCATAATTGAACACAACTGAGTGGGGGGGGGGTATCTGAAATAGCCTCACTACGGCCATGTTGCTTGATTCCAATTGGCTCATGGTTGTGGCTTATGGTGGTTGTAACCTGATGGAACTACAGTTCCCAAATTTCCCACACAAGAATCCCCATAGATAGAAATTCTGAATGCTTGTAGTTCCAGTGAATCAGATGGGGGACAGTAGGTTTGATTAAATAGATCTATATAGGAAGAAAGAGAATTGATGAATGTTAATTTTGCATAACTGATTATTTCAAGGCTGATTACAGTTTGATCACGAGAAAAAAAAATTCACAACAGTAGCTGTTGCTTGTTAAACCAATTACCAGAACAAATAGACACAGGAACTAGCCAGATTTCTCAATCCAGTTTCTTTTCAGGAACGGAGATTAACCTTTTTCCTTCCAAACAAAGCTGAATAGGGAAAATTACCTCATCAATAAACACAGGATTAAACATCACCAAGCATCACCAAAAACCAGTTTTAGACCAAAACTCAAAAGGGGTATGTAAACTCATGTTTGAATGTCAATCTTTCTAGCTAGCCAAGAAGCCTTGCTGAATGCCACTCATCTTGATTCCTTGTCATTAAAAGCTTCTTTCCAGCAGCTCTGCTTCATTATTCAATTATTTCTTCAAAGTA